GAATGGTAGGCGGATGATCTTCTTCTCAATTTTTTTCTTTGATAAAATGTCTATCTGTAATGGACCCAGCCCAATCAGCATATGTATATCCAAAAACTTCAAGATCTTCATGTTTTGAGAACATTAAAACCTTTCCAAGAGCTGACTTTAAGTATCTTAAGATTCGATTAACAGCATTCATATGAGAAACACTGGGTGAATGCATAAACTGACTAACCACACTCACAGCATATGCACTATCTGGTCTTGTGTGTGCCAGGTATATCAAACTTCCAACAAGGTGTTTGATACTGTTCCTTATTGGTTGGTTCTTGGTCCATGTCTTCACACAACTTGTGATTCATCTCAATGGGTGTGTCAGCCGGCACACTAAATGACTTCTCAGCAGGTGATTGGTGTGGTACTGGAGCTGAAGTGGGCAAAATCTCATAAGACGGTTCAATTTCCTCCTCCTGATTTTGACAGCGTGGAGAAAACTGATCGTTTTCCTCTGGTGACCGGTTGTTGGATTTTGGCGACCGGTCGGTTTGAAACAGCTTCTCTGACTACCAATCGCTTTCCACTGGCGACTAGTAGTTTTGAAGCAGATTCTCCGTGTTCGAAGAACTAAGGGGGGGCCGGTCGCTTTCCACTGGCGACCGACCGTTTGATTTAGGAATTTGATTTGAGGAATTTGATGTAGGAATTGGATTTGAGAGGTATGTGTATAAGATTTGAGGGTATGAGAATTTGATTTGAGGAATTTGATGTAGGAATTGGATTTGAGGGTATGAGAATTTGATTTGAGGAATTTGGATTTGAATATGAGAAATTTGAGATAAGGCATTTGAGGACTTTAGATTTGAGGGATTTGGATTTGGGAGAAATATGAGAAATTTGATATGAGGAGTTTAAAGAACACAGAAACCCTGTGAACATGGCTAAGGACACAGAAACCCTATGAACACGGCTAAGAACACAGAAACCCTGTGAACACGGCTAAGAACATAGAAACTTCTCTTCAATCCTCTTCTCCCCCTGAAGAGAAGGGTATGTCGGAGTCAAGAAAGAGGCAAAATCTACATGAGAAAGAGAAACATATCCTTTTTCACTCCCCCTCCCCCCTTTAAAGAGGAGGGGAGGAGAAATTTTGATATGAGAATTTAGAGACAACCAAGGATCGATTGCTCTGATACCATGCTAAAATATGAATATGGGTTTTGAATATGTTAGGTTCTTATTTTTATATAGTTGTCAAATCATTGTATAATTAGGAGATCCTTTACTATATCTAATTCCTTGTAAAGCACTCATATAAACTCTTATATATGCTAAACCTGGCTCTGATACCATGCTAAAATATGAATATGGGTTTTGAATATGTTAGGTTCTTATTTTTATTCTTTTCCATAAGGAGGTATATATAAGAGTTTACATGAGTGCTTTACAAGGAATTAGATATAGTAAAGGATTAGGAAAGTATCTCCTAATTATACAATGATTTGACAACTATATAAAAATAAGAAAGTAAATCCCTTAATTAATCAAGAAAATAAATCTCCTTGATTAATTAGGAGACTCACTTCAACAAGGAGCAGCAGCTACCTCCGAAGTGTTCAACCGACGGCCAAGGTGCTAAACAGATTTATAGGCCAGTTCCAAAATCCACTGCCATTGATAATAGCATTTCACTTGGTCCCACAGCCACACACACTCCTGGGATGCCAGTAGATGTAGTTTCTGCTTCTGCTATTGTAGATGCAGTAATTGAACGTGCTGCTTTGGATCATAGTGAAGCCATTCCTGACATTGTGGCTAATGAGCAAGTGATTAGTCAAGAGGATCATGAGCTCATTGCTCCCCATCATCCTGCTGATGTACAAGGTGATAATTTTGTTTTGAAACAAGTAAGGCCTTTCCCTGCCTTGGAAGCGTCTGCGCCTTCTCATGATCCCAGACCAAGGCCGCATTCATGGCATGATATATTTTTTGAGGAAGCTGAAACCCAGACTAATGTTTCAAATAATAGCGACACCATTGCGTCTCCCACTCTTACTCATCCTGTTTTGGGGAATGAGGATCATGGTTGCAATGCCAGAGGAAGTGTGTCTGCTCCTGCATCACATGTTATTATTTCTCAAAGCAATGACGCTGAGGATTCTAATCAATCACTCTATCTTGTGCTCACAAAGTCTCAAAGGAAACGAATGCGCAAACAGGCTTGTGATATAGACCGAACGGTGCCTGCAGTCTCATACACCCTCAGAGATAGGGCAACTATAAAAAAAGGTTACTAGATGAGGTTCCTTTATTGGAATGTTCGGGGTGTGGGTAACGGTCCCACTCGGGAAAGAATTCGTCGTATTCTTCGACAGCATCGTCCGGAGGTTTTTTGTCTTTCTGAGCCTTTTGTTTCTTTGAATTCTTTGAATTCTTTCTTTTGGAATGCTCTTAATCTTCAACTTATCTGCACAAATGATCGTGGAGATTTGTTGCCCAATCTGTGGATATTTGGCAAAGTTAACATATTTGTTCAAGTACATTGTGTTACTGATCAACAGGTTACTTTTTCTTCAGACCTTGATGGGGTCAGTTGTGTGTTTACAGCGGTTTATGCCAAAACCACTTATTTAGCTCGTCGTGGCTTATGGACAAGTATTGAAATTGTTAAAGATCAATTTGCTTCCTGTCCATGGATTGTTTTTGGGGATTTCAACGCAGTTTTGGGGGATCATGAGAAACTTGGTGGGCGTCCTATTGACAGGAAATCTTGTGAGGAGTTCCAGCATATGTCTGATGTTTGTGAGCTGATTCATTTTAATACTAAAGGTACTAAATTCACATGGGCAAAAGGGTCGACCATTAACTCCCGTGTAGAGCGGCGTCTTGATCGGTGCCTTGGGAATACTCTTTGGCTTGACGCTTGGGATTATTTTGATTGTTATACTCTCCCTAGACTTTGCTCTGATCATAATCCCATTGTGATGAGTTTTGGCAAGCTAGCTCGTCCCCGTGCTTCCCTTTTTCGTTTTCAAAGAGCTTGGTTAACACATAAAGATTTTCATCAATTTGTTAAGTCTACATGGGCAGCCACTCACTCTTTTATGGACCCCTATTTTAATCTCACTCACAAATTGAAGATTCTCCGTAAAGCTTTGCGTTCTTGGAACTGGGAGGTTTTTGGGGATGTTAATCATAATGTGACTGCGGGCCGGATGGAACTTGACGCTGTTCAGGAGGTAATAGCACGTGATGGGGGGTTAGATTTTTTATTTAGCAAGGAGAGTGAGTTGCATGCTTCATTAACTGAAGCCTTTCGTGTTCAGGAGATTTTTTGGAAGGAGAAATCCATAACTAAATGGCTCGCGGATGGGGATAGAAATACTTTTTTTTTCCACTCTATGTGTAAAATTCGAAAGGCTCGTTGTTCTATTTCTCTCCTAAAAAATGGATCCACTATTCTTGAGGATCCATGCGCCATTCAATCGCATGTTGTACATTTTTATTCTGATCTTTTTGCTGCTAAATCTGTTACTGATACAGGGTTAGTGGAAAAAGTTATCCCTTCTTTAGTTACAGCTGAGGAAAACTTGAGTTTGATTGCTCTTCCTAGCACTGAGGAAATTTTTGTTGCTATAAAACAAATGGACCCTTCTAGCGCCCCTAGTCCTGACGGTTTTAGTGGTCACTTTTTCTCAGAGTGTTGGGATATTGTGGGCAAGGAGGTCGTGTGTTTTGTTCAACAATTTTTTCGGGATGGTTACCTTCCTACGACATTCAATTCTAGCCTCATTATCCTCATTCCGAAGGTTCCTAATGCTGTTTCGATGGGGCAGTATCGGCCCATTGCTTTGGCAAATTTTTTGTTCAAGATTATTCCTAAAATTCTCTCTATACGACTTGCTCCAATTGCCTCTTGGATTATTTCCCCTCAACAGCATGCTTTTGCTCCAGGTAGGAATATTGTTGATGGTATTATCCTTACTTCTGAAGGTTGCAATTTGTTAGACAATGCATGTGCTGGAGGTAATGTGGCCCTTAAGTTGGATGTGGCAAAGGCCTTTGATACTATTTCTTGGGATTTCCTACTACATGTTTTGACTTCGTTTGGCTGTCACAGTGTGTTTGTTGAGTGGGTTCGTATCCTTTTGCATTCTGCCAAGCTTTCTATTCTTGTTAATGGACAAGTTTCTGGTTACTTTTCTTGTGGGCGTGGAGTTCGCCAAGGTGATCCTTTCTCTCCGCTGCTATTTTGTATGGTAGAAGAGGTGCTTAGTCATGGTATTTCGGATTTGATTAATTATGGTAAGCTCATCCCAATATCTTTGCCCGGCGGGGTGCAAACAATTTCCCATGTTCTTTTTGCAGATGATATCATTGTGTTTTGTAGAGGCTCCAGGAAAAATCTCACAATCCTTATGGATTTCTAGAAAGAATATGAGCTTAATTCTGGCCAAGTTATCAACAAAACAAAGTCTAATGTTTTTCTGGGTAAGACTCTCCAACACCGCCATCGTTTGATTTCGAATGTTCTAGGCATCAAGGTGGGGTCGTATCCCTTTAATTATTTGGGTGTTCCTATTTTCAAGGGCAAGCCTCATGCAATATATTTTCAGGGCATTGCAGACAAAATCAGATCTCAGCTTTCTTCATGGAAAGGGTCTTAGTTTTCTATGGCGGGTAGACTTCAACTACTTAAGTATGTTGTAGCTAGTATGCTTGTTTATAGTTTTCAGATCTATGAGTGGCCAATGTCTCTGCTTTGGAAAATTGAGACTTGGTGTCGAAATTTCCTTTGCTCTGGCTCCTTTGACAAACGTGGGGTTCCTCTAGTTTCTTGGCGTCGATGTTGTGCTCCTATGGCAGAAGGTGGTCTTGGCCTTAAGCAGCTAGTGGTTTTAAATCGAGCATTTTTGCTCAAAAAAGGCTGGGATGCTCTTTCGTCTTCTTCTTTGGGCTGCCAGTTTCTTCGGGATAGGTTTTGGCGAGGGGGTAAGATTCATTCTGCTTATGTCACGTCCTCCATTTGGCCCAACCTCAAGCGTATTTGGCCAGATGTACTCAGTAATATTCGCTATCTTCTTGGAGATGGTAAGAACACTTCTTTTTGGTGGGATAACTTTATTGGTCAACCTCTATCTAATTATTTTGGTCTTCACCCTTCTCTACGGTCGTGCATGGGGGAATTGGTTTCTCAGTATCGTGTGAATGGTGTCTGGCACCTTCCATCTCTACTAACTCTGCACTTTCCAGGTATTTGTGAGCATATTATGGATATTTCTTCTTTTCATGATCCTGTTGCAGGTGATTTGTTAGTTTGGGCACCATCCTCGTCTGGCACCCTCTCTGCTAAGGATGCTTATGAATTCACACGGCCTAAGTTTGCCGAGGTTTCTTGGTGTAAGTTAATTTGGAAACCTTTTATTGAGCCATGGAAATCGCTCTTAGTGTGGAAAGTTATCCATGGCAGGCTTCTCACGGAGGATTTTCTTCAAAAACGTGGTATTGCCCTTGCTTCTATGTGCTTGTTTTGCAGGATGGCTCCGGAGAATATTAATCATTTATTTTCTGAGTGCCCCTTTACTTGTTCCATATGGAGTTCTATGTTCATGTTTTCTGGTCTGCACTTTACTCCGGGGCCTTTAGCAGTTATTCTTTCTTCCGGCCTATCTACTCATTTTAGCCCTCAGCTCATGGATCTATGGCTTCTTATGTTCGGAACTACTGTGTGGTTAATTTGGGATTTAAGGAACAAGTTGCGGTTTGAGGAGAAGGTTTCTACGGTTTCTTCTGCTTGTCGTACCATTATTAATCATGTGCGTGACTCTAGTCCTCTGGCCAGGGGTCATATGTCGAATAAGGTGCGTGATCTGTGTACTATTCATTCCATTGGGGTGCGCTGTCGTCCTCGCTCCAATCCCAAAATTGTTGAGGTTATGTGGCATCCCTCTTGTTTTGGCTCTGTCAAAATTAATACTGATGGAGCGTGCAAAAGCGACTCTGGTAAAGCAGGTAGTGGTGGTGTGTTTCGTGATTATCAGGGCCATGTTCTTGGGGCATTTTCGGCCAATTTAGATGTTCCTAGTGCAGTTCATGCTGAAGTTTTAGCGGTCATAAAGGCCATTGAGCTTGCTTGGCTACATGCTTGGCATAATATTTGGATTGAAACTGATTCGTTGTTAGTTACTAAATTCTTTCGCTCTCCACATTTGGTCCCTTGGCTTCTACGAGTTGATTGGCAAAATTGCTTGCATCATCTCCAGCACATGTCATTTAAGATTTCTCACATCTTTCGTGAGGGTAATCATGATGCTGATGCTTTGGTGAATCATGGTGCTTTGGGCTCTGGTTTAATTTGGTGGGATACTGCACCTTCTTTTATTTTGCCTTTTTGTCAGCGGGCCTGGCTGGGCATGCCTAATTACCGGTTCTAGGTTCTTTTGTTTACTCTTTCAGAGTTTTGGTCTCTTAGGTCAGCATGTTGTTGTGCTTTTCTGTCATTGTCTTTCTCTTCTACAGGGTTTGGTTCGGTCCCCCCTGTTGTTCTTTTATGTTTTTGTTTCTTATTAATAAATTATGATCAAGGGGATGGGCGGGGGCTTCCAGAGTGTTGGTCCCCTCTTTGAGGGTGGTGGATGTTTGTGCATCCGATGACCAATACTGATGAGCTAATCTCGCCTAATCCTTTGGTTTATTTTAAAAAAAAATTAAAATATATATATATATATATTCTTCCTTGTAAGTGGGTATATCGTATCAAGCGTAAATCTGATGGATCCATTGAACGGTTTAAAGCTCGTCTAGTTGCAAATGGCTTTTTCCAACAAGATGGTATTGATTATACAGAAACCTTTAGTCCAGTGGTCAAGCATGTCACCATCCGAATTGTTCTCTCACTTGCTATCTCTCATGGTTGGTCTATTCGTCAATTAGATGTTCAAAATGCCTTTCTTCATGGGCATCTTACTGAGGAAGTCTATATGAGTCAACCTAAGGGTTTCGAAGATCCTACTCGACCTCACCATGTTTGCCAACTTCGTAAATCTCTCTATGGCCTTAAGCAAGCCCCTCGAGCATGGTTCCAAAGATTCTCCGAGTATCTCCTTCAGTTGGGGTTTGTTGGTTCTAAGGCAGATCATTCTCTTTTTATCTATAATACTGATGGTGTCTATCTTCTCTTGCTTATATATGTGGATGATATTTTAATTACAGGGAATCAAGATTGTAAGATTCAGTCTCTTATTACATGTCTTGGTAAGGCATTTGCAATGAAGGATCTTGGGGCCCTTAAGTATTTTTTGGGCATTGAAGCTACTCGCACGCCTACTGGTCTTTATTTATCACAACATAAGTACACTTGTGATCTTCTTGTTCGTGCACACATGCAGGATTCTAAACCGTGCGCCACTCCAGTTGGCTCCGGCTCTCAACTTAGTGCTATAGATGGTATACCTTTATCTGACCCTCGTGAATATCACAGTGTTGTTGGGGCTTTGCAATATTTAACGGTTACTCATCCCGACATCACATATGTCGTTAATCAGGTTTGTCAACATATGCATCAGCCCACTTTGGTGCATTGGATTGCAGTTAAGCGAATCTTGCGTTATTTAAAAGGATCACCAAGTGATGGGTCACTTTTTAAGCCTGGTCCTACTTCCTTAGTCGCCTTTTCTGATTCTGACTATGCCGACAACCCCTATAGTCATCGGTCTACCGGAGGTTTCTGTCTGTTCTTGGGTCCTAACTTGATATCTTGGAGCTCTAAGAAGCAACGGACTGTGGCTCGATCTAGTACTGAGTCTGAACATCGACAAATGGCCATTACATCAACTGAGATTGTTTGGGTACGACAATTGCTTCTTGAGCTTTCGGTTCCTCAGCCTACTCCACTTGTCTTATGGTGTGACAATACTAGCTCCATTGCGTTGGCATCTAATCCTGTATTTCATGCTCGTACCAAGCATGTGGCCATTGATTATCATTACGTTCGTGAGTTAGTGATTGCTCGGGATTTGGATGTTTGTTATGTCTCCACAATTCATCAACTTGCGGATATTTTTACTAATGGTCTCTCTTTCAATCGTTTTGCTTTCTTGAAATCCAAGCTCATTTGCTCTCCGCTCATGAGCTTGCGGGGAGATGATAGAAGACATTACATCGTGGACTCCACTCAAATAATGCATAAAGAGATCACACTGACATTCCTTTATTCCCTGTGCTCCACTAAGATTATTATATACAACACTATGTTATCCTATACCTACACTAACATTATTATATAGCACTATGCTTTTGTTTAGATGCTCCATTGCTTTATTTGTCTATATATTGTAGACTGATGTCTCATTCAAAGGACAGTTAAATATACAATATTCAAGATAGTTCTATCTTTCAATTTCTACCTAGTGCTCTGAATGTCAAAGTGAAGAAATTCAACCAAGTGCAGGTAAACAGCAAGAGTAACTATGACTCTCTTAAGGTAGCTAAATGCCTCGTCATCTAATTAGTGACACGCATGAATGGATTAAAGAGATTCCCACTGTCCTTATCTACTATCCAGTGAAACCACAGCCAAGTGAACGGGCTTGGCAGAATCAGCGAGGAAAGAAGACCATGTTTAGATCACATCACTCAAACATACACATGGGAACCGCCCCTTTTGCACCTTAAACTGTGCGAGTGGCCAAGGGCTCCGTGATCGAGGCGCGCCACCTAATCCACTCAGCTCTACACCACACTCACTTGGTTTCCCAATTTTCGATTCAACCTAGGCCAAAATGGAACCGTGCGTTACGCTCAAAACCGAGGTCATTCACCAATAAGAAGATTGCACGTGCCAAATTCGCACTGCTCAAGGCCAAAATCTTCGCATTTATATTCCCAAAGATCCAAACCAACACGTTTGGGACTTCGCTACAGGCCAAGATCCAAGATTATCAAGAAAATATCTGAGCCTTGGGACTCATGACCAAGCTAGTGACCTTCCCCATTTCGGCCGCACCTTTACCACATTGGCCAGCTCACGTCATGCTCAGCCCAAGGCGCCAACGCATGCTTTGAAAGAGCCAAGACTTCCCCTCTAAATAGAAGATCCCCATCAACTAAGAGCATCTCCGAGGGATATGTCAAATACCAAACATCAAATTTAAATTTGATGGCTGATGTGGCAATTTTAAATTTACACAGTTTTACACTCCACCCGATATGTCAAATAAATAATTATTGTAACAGTCAAATCATTCAAGATAAAGAAGAAAATAATAAAAAAGGAAAATAATAAATGAAAGAAAAAGCCAGCTGTCTTTAAAAAATAATAAAATATTCATTTGACATCTTGCTTTTGGGATGTCAAAAATAACAGCTGAACCTCCAGCCTTCATTCCACATCAGCTTTGACAATTCGGTTGGAGTGAGGTGAGATGTTATTTCTAGCCGTTAAATGTCTATATGGCACTTTTGACATATCGGTTGGAGATGCTCTAAAGAGTACAAACACCAAATCAAAAAAGCCTCAACGAGCAAAAATCCCCTTTGTCTGTCATGTCAAAGTTTTAAATGCTTTCTAGGAGTAGCGCACTTTATATTACGAAGTCTTAGAATCTGTTCTGAGCTCGTGAGCAATACTCACTTCCATCTTCCATCTTTATATAAAACAAGAGAGTTCTTAGGAATATACGCATGTCTTGATTTATTTCTTGGGCACCATACAATTCATCCAGATTCTTCCAGATACGGGTCTAAACCCGACGTGCTACCGTGCACAGTGCCATCACCATCCTCAAGGGTCAAGATACGCACATCTTAGCTGAGTCTGGTGGGCCAATCCATTGCCCAGACATAGGTATCTCAGTGTCCGTCCACCGTTCATAAGGCCTTGTATCTGAGGCCTAGGACCTAGTAACCGAGGATTATTCCTCCCTCCGCCACAGTCGCTTGAAAGAAGTGAAGATCAAGGAGCGCATCCATCACTCACCATCCATTTGTACTCATGGCCGTTTCTCAGCCCAGGTACTAGCACGCCCACACCACCGCAACATCGAAATAGGACATTTTTGTGGCCAAATCAACTTGGCCGAAAAGATTTGGAAGCTAACAGTTGCAAGTGCAAGATAACCACCTCTTGATGGGGCTGGTCTTGAGGGACAGGGTGTTAATTAAGCCAGAGTAGGTCAAAAGCAATGCACTGACCATAAAACTAACATTTTACGAACTCATCCTCTCTCTTTTTCTTTGATCATTTTTCGGACAAACAGATCAGAATCAGTCATGCTAGTTTTCTACATGATAGCGCAAACTGAACCTAGAAAATCCCACGAGATGCTTGCCAAATAAAATGTAGTAAAAAACTATTTCAGAAAAGGAACTTATTAGGATCAACTGCATAAAACTCCCCAAATTATAGGGGTCATTTCAAACTCATACATAAACATGGAAGACTGTACAAATGCAAAAAAAACTTACTTGTAACAGGGATAGCATTGTTTTGCTATCCCTGGCCAATAACATAATGACATTTGGAAAAGTTATCTAATGTGCCATTACGTTATTGGCCGGAGATAGCAAAAAGTGTTATCCCCTTTGCATGAGTCTCTTCTACAAATGGGTACCCAAACTTATGGAAATCTAACAAATGAGACCCTCTATAACCCAGTTTGTTAGTAAATCTATTAAATGTTGACGTGGCAAACATAAACTCTTTTTTATTTTTTTTTGGCAAAAAAAAATTTAAGTAAAAACTAAAAATCATATATATAAATCAATAAAATAACATAAAATTTAAAAAGGAGTAACCTTTCTTCTAGATGCAACTTACTATATTCTGATGCATAAATCATCTTTTAAACTAAGTTTCCTAGGCAGACATCTTTTGTATGCTAACCCGTATTTGGATTAACCCTTTGTTGTTACTGCGCTTTCACTAGCTCTTATGGCTGATGGCCTTCGTGCCTGAATTATAAATGCAATCTATCGTATTGATCTAAAAAAGGGCAAACAATATTTTGTTTTCTGTTCTGAAAAAACACAAGAAAATGTTTGTTTCTCTTTTCCCTTTTGGATGAGAAAAAGGAACATGCTTTAGGATCCAATTCATGGTAAAGATGCAACAGATTCAACAAGCTTTCCATCTCACAGAGCCTGTATAAAAAATAAAAATAAAAAAAAAAAAACCCCACACTTCCCCTTCCAAACTTTGACAAAAAGACTACAAAGAAATTTGTCGAGAAATACAGTTCACCTTAACATTCCCTAATTGTCCTACTGTTGCTGAGAAACCTTAACCTACATACTTTCTTAGTGTGAGAATATAAGGACATTGACCAAGGAATTCCAATGAGAGATGAGACAAATAAATAGAAAATAAAAGATGACAAGGCACTTGGATCAATGAATTAAGTATGTGACTACTGGATTTTGAAGATAGAATTTCTTCTATGATATTACAGATGGTGAGAATGTACGAAGAATTACAGGAATGAAAACTGAACCAAAAAAAAAAAAAAAAAAACCAAAAGAGAATAAGAGATCATCTTCTCAACATATTGTATGCTGGCAAATCTTTTACACTTGAGACATCTTCAAGTGCAAGCTCACGCTCTAGCTGACTTGTTGTAGACTTCAGAACATCCTGGAAAAAAAATTAGACAGTAAGACATGAGCAGGAAGGATAATATAAGCTTGCATCTTAATTTAGCAAACATAGTAGTATATGACAGAACCATTTACATTGAACTCCATATAGGAAGCACGCTTTGCAAGCCATTGAGCATCCATCATCTGGAAGGCTACACAATAAAGGTTATCAAATGCCATTTCATCTTCTTGAAGCAGTTCGAGAAAACGGATGCCTGCCAAACTAGCTGGCTTTGCTGCAAGAAAGATATAACCAATTATTCTTTATAAACAAAGCATCAGCATTCAGAATATGATGAAGAGAAAAAAAAGAGTAAACTCTTGAGAAAACCGGATTAGTGGAAAATAAGTTACGAGTCATCAAATAAACATATTAAGATGTGGTTCTTTGTCATCAAATAGTTATCTGACACTTCCTCATCAACCATTGTCGTACTACGTTGAAGGAATATCCACTAATTTGAAAATTTATTATACCTGATTGAAGATCCAACATTTGTGCCAAGACAAAAGAAATATTGATACCAGCTACAGCAAAGGGATATTCCCACTCAGCTCTAGTTCCATCTTGTTTGTGCAACAATCTTTGGAATGATTCCTGTAAGAGGATAAAATCAGAAACTCATTAACCCTTTCACGAATTTTGTGGAAACAAGGAACAAAATGATTACTTTACTATGAAACCCGAAATCCCAACTCAAAGGAAGAGAAGGAGGTACACTAAGTCTTGCCATGGAAGTTTATTTATGCAGTAACATATGTTCATTGTAAGTCAAAATACCGGTTTTAAACTAGGACAAATGAAATCACATAAGTGACCAGAACAGTAAAATGCCAAAGAAACTGGATGGTCCGAGCTTTAATAAATTAAACAGAAAAAGATACTGCTTGAAGCAACAGCGAAACATATCAAGGACATACAAGTTTTTATGATCTAGTAGTGAGAACTATGTTGCAAACATGAAACAAAAATTTTTATAATTGAAAAAGACATTAAGTCAGAAAGAGACAAACCGGATACTGTTGGGCAAAAAATATAAGATTCTCCAATGATATAAATCCCCCGCCTCTACAAATAAGGTTGGAAATTTATCATTATCATATCAATTTATTCAGAAAAGATATATGAAAAAACACAAAACCAAATACATGTGACTCACTTAAGGATACTTTCATTTTGTTTTACGTACGTACCTAAAGTCTGTTGAAGGGTCTGAACCTTGCCATCCCATCTGTTTCCAAAGTTCTGATTTAAGAGGTGGGAGCTCCTTATCTGGATAAGCCAACCTCCATAACTGTAAAAGTGCATCCTGCAATTAAAAACTTAAGTAATTACTTCGAGGTTTTCATTTTGGGTAAACTATAAAACCAAAAAATTACTTCAAGGTTTTCTGAAAATACAGACAACCCTTCTATTGCTAAAAATTACTTGGACAATAAAATATACTAGTCCGCCCACACCCACAACAGTACAACAAACCAGTACTTTGCTTTATTACAATATAATAAATTTTGTTTTTTTCCTTATTACCCTTCAACTTACATTGCTCACTCTGTTGTAACTGTAAACACTTAATTTTTCTGAACTAGCATATTTTTAGGCACTTTTGAGCATTAACGCTCCAACCAAATAATCATAAACAATGATAATAACATACAAACAGTAACTGCAATAATAAAAATACTGATAATACTATAAAAAAAAAGTTATTATTATTTTTATTATTATCATTATCCAGATCTTTATGTTTGATATAGTAGTACTAGTAACACCAATAGAGAAATGATCAAAATGACGTCAAATGGATAAAAGACCTACTTGATGCTCCACACGAGAGCCATCAAAGGGTACTTCAAGCCTTTGTCGCAGCTTTCTGAGTCTTGCTTCCTACAGGACATAAGTACCAGCAGCAAGTGAACCCCGTATTCAATATATACAAATCTACATTATGCAATATATACTTCTCAATTATACAAACAACAGAAATTGTTGGCATCCCATTGCTGCAGAAAGCTTAAGCGGTTAGTATACGAGATAACAATTAAAAGAGCCCAACAAATAAACTATGACATAAATTAAGAGAGAAATTGCAGGGATTCGAACTCAAAATCCCCCCTTTTTGATACCATGTTACATTTTCTCGGTTTATCACCATTCCTGAAAATTTAAGATATAGGATATAGAACTGAAATTATATTAGTGATACAAATTACACAATTTGTTTTGAAAATTGAACACTTCTAACAATAAAAGCACAATGTATGCCAAAAAAAAGATGAAGTACAAATATCCACTTCAAATGACGGCTAAGGAGTAAGCAGTTGTGTTTTAAAAAAAGGAACAAATTCATAATTAATCCACCAACAGCAAAAACACATCATAAAGACAAACACATTTCATAAGATAGTATTAGATAATTGAAATGTGAGGCTTCATCTTAAACTTTTCATGCATTTAGGATCTAAGGAAAATATATACTCCTTGGAGATAACGATCAGATCATTTATTGGACATACTTGCAGAGGACTAAGGGGTGGTGCAAGCAACTTAGTGCTTTGTCCATTTTGTGTAGTTGAAGGGAAGGTCAAAAGCCGCCCAATAAGCGATCCCGATCCAAGAACAATATTTGCTACAAAGAACAAGATGGAAATATATAATTACAAAAATAACAGTATATTTTGAATGCATAAAGAAAATAAATAAATCACAAAGAATGAACAGTGATCAGATAAATGCAAAAGAGCAGGAGCCTATTTGGGAGTACTTATGCTCATAAGTGCTTTTGTTGAAAGAACTTTTGTTAGGGCCAATTTGGGATTGCTGTCACTTTTTAAAAGTTGTTTTTGCTGTGCTTTGAAAATAATTAGCTATAAAGTAAAGCAACTCCATGTTTGGTAAATAATAATTTTAAAGTGTTGTTAGTACAAAAAGCAGTGTCAAAATTGTTTGGTAAATTTTAATATAAAACTGTTGTAATTGTGAATAATGACAAAAATAAACATGATGTTGAAAGTGTTATGCGCTAATAATGATGTGGTAGTGGTGGAGGTGATGGTGGTGGTGATGAACGTGGAGATGGTGGTTGTGGTAGTGGTGGTGGTGAGGATGGCGGTTGTGGGGGTGGAGGTGCAGGTGGTGGTGGTGGGGCTTGAGGAGGAGGTGGTGGTTGTGGTTGTAACGGAGGAGGATGTGGTGGTGGCGGTGGCGGTGGCGGTGGTGGTGGTGGAGGTGGTGAAGGTGGTGGTGGAGGTGGTGGAGTTTGATGTGGAGGTGGAGGTGGTGTCATTTTAAAAAATTAATGATAGTATTTTGGGAATTAAAAAAATTAAAAAGAGCATGCTTTTAAAAGCTGCTGTCAAAAAGCCACTGCTTTTAAAATAATCGGGAGATTTAATTTTTAACAAACACCTTAAACTGCTTAACTTTAAAGTGAAGCAGGTTTTTACCCAAAAAAAGCAATCCCAAATGGGGGCCTTAGAAGCACAACAAAAAATTTATTAAGAATTCAATTGCTCATTATTTTTAGGCTACCAATCACTCGGAAGTTCTTTTAAAACCTAAAAAGAACTTTACCTATTACTGCCAAATGTTACCAAAAGCGCTCTCGGTCATCTAGAAGTGTTTCATTTAACCTTTCTAAAAGCACGTACAAACAAGCTAGATATCTGCTACCATAGGCTGTTTCATATTATTTTTAACCAAATTGAACTCTCCAATAGAATGTTGAATACCCCTCATGGTTCTTTACCTCGTCCAATGAAAATTGCCACTCTCTAGAGACATTTCAGTAACTTAACATTTGAAGTTCGATGAAGCACTGGAACAACTGATCAGGGATAATATTCACTTAATCAAATGGTTTGGTTATCAAGTGGGTACCTTTCTGAGAATGACTCCATAATCAGGTCAAAAATGAAATAAACTTAACAGTTTCAGTTTATTTAGTTAGATCATGTTTTAAAATTCTAGCTATATAATGCCTGGCGTCTTATTGACAAAGTTTTAAAACCTTTCCAGTAAAACAGTAAAGTCTTTTTGACACCAAAATTATGATTACCTAACCACCGTGCCCACTGTGCAATCAACTGAGAAAACAGAAGGGTCCAATGGAGGTGTTCCTTTCTCCGTTCATCATCCCAGGTCTCTTCAATTGTGGATTCCTGTGGTAAATCCAAGAAAGATATCAACCACAAAAGGCCAAAGAAAATTATTAACAGAACAAATCCCCACCCTCCATGTAAATGAATAATTAAAATCCCCACCTCAGCATGCGTATCTGAATAATAATTCCCCAGTAGAGGCTCATTAAGATCATCTGACCCTGATGTCTCTAAATGCTCATTATTTTTCCCATCAACATCCCCATGATGAAGCCTTTTCCGCAAAGTTCTCGATGCCATGACGCTTCCTATATCAGCCTGAATTTTCTCACTAATAATTTCATCATGAGCATTGTTATGAGCCAAATGCAGCATCCTCAAGTATACTAGCAAACAACCCAATGACAGAATCTCTCCACATTTCCATTAAAGCAACAGCTTGCCACCAAATTCAAAGCCAAATCATACCCATAAACATATAACCCATATTCATATACCACTTAACTTAGTAGTAGTACATACTTAAAACAACTAAAATTCACACTACTTAACTAGTGCACAAAATGTCCAAGTTACTGGGATACATCCAAATATTTCAAACCCATAAACCCTAAGACTGAAATAACTGGGATTTAGCTCGAAATACAACAGGGGTTTGTGTCATATGCCAATTCAGAGATATTATCTAACTTTACAATGGAAAAAAAAAACAATGAAATACCAAAAAGAAAAACGAAGCAGATGAAGGAGAAGACAGAAGCTTGTTGGCTTACCTTACGTTACCTTTAGGTTTGGCAAGGGATCCCAAACGGAAAGAGCTTTTTGTTGTTGATTCTTTGCTAAACAATCGATAAGCTCTCAACTTTTCCGTTTCTCTAAATGGTTTTAAGCAAACAAATAAGGTGAACTGTATAAATCTATGGTTTCTCCATCTGTCTGCGTTTTTCTTTTATTTGTTTCATCAGATCAGTATTGCTATTGCTCAACATGACTTTCTCAATCCTGAGTTTGACGCCAATTCAATGCGAGCACCGCCGAGGTGACGTGTCAATAACGTGCCCCGTACCTTTTTTGCCCTTTTTTTGCGGTTAAGGATTTAGAATTTAGATGCACCGAAAAATAATAATTTAGAATTTAAGAAGAGGGCTGTGCTCACCTAGCAGCTACGACTTGCCCAGAAATCAATCAATTAGGTCTTAAATTTCTTAAACAACATATTAATTTGATCCGTGTTTTTATATAAGATATTTTGTCATATACCCATTCTTAGCACTAAAATTATAAATAAACTATACACCATTTAATTTCTATAAACACACTGATAACTGGCCCTATTGAATTTATTTTTTATTATTAAATTACTTTGATGCCCTATTGAGTGTTTTGGGTTTTTTTTATGAGGTTTTGGGGTTGGGTTTGGGTTTGTTTTAAGAAATTAATGGTAGTTTTGTAATTTAAAAGAAATTAAAAGCCTTTTTATTATGTTGTAAATGGGTTTTGGGTGTGTTTCTAAAGTCCATTTCATATAGGGTTTTTTTAATAATTTGGGCTTCTATATTGAGTATAATAGTGAATCTCCCTTTTTATATTCCATTAAAGTTAATATTAAAAGTTATCACGTGATTCCCTCGATCGAACGAAAACCGCTTCTTGCTCTTTTTTGCCTCTCTGGCTTGACTACTCTGCTTGCTTAACACAAGTGTGATTTAACCTTCACAAACCACTGCACTGGCTAATTTCGTCAAAACACATCCCACCCACCCATGAGGCAAACAAATTGCTGCTTTTGTCATCCGCACTAGCTCATGTCCTCCGACCACCCACCTGTGGACGTTAGTAACACATCACTCAAGTCGTTACCAAGCATTCCAATAGTAGGTGCACTAGCTCATGTCCTCCGACCACCCACCTGTGGACGTTAGTAACACATCACTCAAGTCATTACCAAGCATTCCAATAGTAGGTGCGGAGAGTCAACGAGGTTTAACTCAGTGTAAAAAGACATTAATAGACCAATGGTCTCAAGTTCGAACCCCAATAGGCATTGATAGACCAACGGTCTCAACTATCGCTTGTATTAAAAAAAAAAAAAACATTGAGATATTTATGCGTGCATTTGGGAGACGAAAGCTGGCTAGGTTTTTTTTTTCAATAACCTAAAGAGAAAAATTATCACTATTGCTAAAGAAAATGCACGAGTCAAGTCAAGACATTATTCCAACTAAATCTTTACGGGCTTGCTCTTATGAAGACTTCTAAAGCCAAAAAACCGTTGAAAATTTTACGCATATAGTTAATTATATTGCTTAACTAGTATTACAATCCACATTCTGACCAACAAAGCTACAGCCACATTGTCTCACTCGATTCAACAAAATGATCTCCAAATGGCTGAAGAGAGTAGAGACTAGCTAGGCATGCCATATCCAACATTAAAGTACACATTTAGTGATGCCCCAAACTCTGTTTACAGCGCCAATCAAGTTTGCACAGGTACATTCAAGTTAGGCACTTCATGTCAAATTAAAATATAGCTACCGAGAAACTTCCTTCCTACTAGACATACATCAAAGGAGACTGACTGCTTAAACTGGCATGGGGAGGTGGACCTAGATGTTTAGAAGACACTATTCTCTACTAATTTACATAATAACACAATGCCTCTGAGAAATTCCACTGGCTCCATTGATTTCCAAGATGAATTTGTCACCAAAAGTTATGGGTACCTTGGATGGTTTTGTTCACAATCCAGTATAGGAAATTCTGGCTTGGTAAAATAAGTAGGAACTCACTGTCGAGGTACTGGCTGTGTATTTGACTGATTACTTTGCCCATAGAATCCCATACCCAGCGGTCGATAATAACCTCCAGTAGCTGGCTGCAGCTGCTGTTGCTGAGGCTGAGGCTGATGTTGCTGCTGTTGCTGCTGCTGCTGCTGCTGCTGCTGCTGCTGTTGCGGCTGACCTGGCCTCGACAAACCCATTGAAATATGTGGAGGAATGGGGGGTGGAGGTGGCAGAGTATTTGATCCGTATCCGTAAGGCATTACACCCACCATGAGACCAGCAGATTGGGCATATTGATTCGCTGGTGGAGTTGCAGGAGATGCTGATGGTGCTGGAGGTGGCGGGGGCGGTGGACCAAAAGTATTTTGCATCTGGTTAGTTTGGGACAAAGGCTGCATGGTTGCCGCTGGTGCATGTGGAACATTGGTCATTGTCTGCTGTTGTAGAGGAGTAAAATAGGCTGTATTGCCAACATCAGGATTGTTAAGTTCAGATGCAGACATTTGCTTCTCAAGCTTGGGCCGTTTTTCTGGAGGAAACATGGATAATCCTGAAGTAAATGCAGCTGACGTTAGGCTACCAGTCATTGAGGCAGCTTCTTCAGCAACAAGGGATGAAAGAACAGAGGTCAACATCTGGGCAGAAGATGCAGATGCAGCTAGCTTAGCAGCAACAGCAGCAGCTGCTGCCTTTTTGTTCTCTTCATCAGTAGTTTTGACAGAGGCAAAAGAAATCACAGGTTGGGTTGGAGGCTGAGGTGGGATGCCAGTTGGTTGCACTAATGATATATTTGGTTCTAACGCCCTTGTAGATTCAGTTGTCATGTTAGTGACATTGCTTTGGGGGTTAACAACCGGGGACAAAGTCAGTCTCCTTTTAATATTACCCAGTTTCTCAATCTGATGTCGAGCAACCTGCATGACAATAAATAATTCCTGTTAATCCAAGTAGCCAGTATATTAATATAGTTTTCACAATGCAAAATTTGAAAAAGCAGCATAAGCTCGCCTACAAACAAAAGAATGACATTTACTGTATGTAGAATGAGGATGATATACATGCCAGCTAGCCTGGCTCCTAAAGTGCTAAACAGAAAATATGCAATTGCTGGAGGGTTGCCTACCTTTGTCAATTCCAATGAATTACACTAATAATTCAAACTTGGATATCTTGCCTTGATACATTGATGAAATTTATTGACTTATTACTGTTCCCAAAACTTAAGTTGTTAGAGTACACATATATACTTGCATGTTCGCATGTTTGATGTGATGGGAAGTGCCAAGAGAATTGCATTATAAGATATTATTTGGTATGCTCTGTCCTGAACTTGTATCATACATAGACAGACCATGTCTCTCATGGAAATTGTTATGGCTTTTAACAGATATTCAAACCAACAGTAGATTTATAGCTTGAAAAGAAAAAAAAAATGACTACAACGTCAGTGTAAAAACAAAAACAAAAGGTCCCTATAAAAGGTATAGCTGACAGTTATAACTTTAAAACTAGAACATTTAATCAGGAGAGGACGCATTACTATGAACTGATGTTGGGGCATGAGAGTAATCAACTTATTATTGTTGCCTCGTCCGTCTCGTGGGAACTTTGGAACTTTCTACTTGCTATTTGGAGTTTGGAGTTAAATGGGAGCTACCTAAATCAGTGTCACTATCTCATGGAGAATTTGGAAGACAAGGCAACGGCACTACTTGTTGCGTCTGGAGAAAAAGGAATATTAGAACAGTGATAGGGCTCCAACAAACATTTCTGTCATTCTAGTATCATCCGTGAGGACGTTAGCATGAATCGTCCACTTTAATTTAATAATATTTTAAACTGTTAAAAGGAAAAGTAAGAAAGAGGAAGAGGATCATATTTCTGATTGATTCAACTTAGTAATATGCACAGCCTACAGCTTCGATAAATTAAAAGTTCGAAGAAAATTTCTTAGAAATCAACCCCAGAAATCATCCAAATGAGCTCAATCAAAGCAATTAAATTAGCTAAACCATCCCTACACATAAGGCTGTTTACAGCCAACATCACTGATCCCCTCAAGCTGGAGAGAAGATATCAACTACCCCCAGCTTACTGCAAATAAAATCACTAACAAGTCTACCATCTTCCACAAAAACTTTGACAGCTTGGGCCAAATGAGGGTGGTTAAGATTCTTCAGTTTTGTATTGTTTATATAGCTAGCCAAAGAAACGAAGAAGAGGGCGTCCTTTCTGCCACTTTCGCCACCATAGGTCCGTAAGTAAAGCTAGGAAAAGAACCAAGACTAGATCTGGGCAAGACAAGAACCAATATGAGGTCCAGGCAAGACCAGAGATGAAATGAGATCAAAGTCAGATGAGGTCTAAGCGAGATTGTGAGATCGAATACTATATCCAAATGAGACCAGATTGAGACAATATCCAAGCCACAAGATTTAATGGAACCCATGACAGAGAAGTAAGAGAGAACTTATCCATATTTCTTTTTCCTCTTTTCTTAATTTGTGAGAAAGTAGGTACGGGTAGATGCTTCTTTAGCTCTAAGGAGTATATTTATCGGATTCCATGCTGAAAGGTGAATTATGAAACGGGGGTGAATTATGAAACGGGAACAGGATCATATTTTTCATTGATTCAACTGAGGAATATAGATGGTTGTATATCGCCTCCATACAAATAGGGATAAAAGAGTCAAAGAAAAATTGCTAGAAATCATCCAAATCAGTCAACCAACTTGCCTAAATTAGCTCAATCATCCCTGCAAACTAGGTTGTTTACAATCTACATCATCATAAACCTTCAGAACCTTCACATTCTTTTCTTGTCTACTTGGTCAGGATTGTCTAGAAAGGCCAAAAAGAAAAAAAAGAAATCTTATATTGTAACGAGGAAAGCATTGTCCATTGACAGTTCCAAATGTAAACTTAAGAAGATGCGAGAGTAAAGATCATCTAAGATGCGAGCTTACATCTCAAGTTTAG